AAGCTCATCGTTTTCAAATTTATTTTAATTCATCTGCCAAAGCCTTGGTAATATTCTACAAGTCCCCAAATATGTTGACCCTCTGAGAATATTGAGATTGAATTACAAAGTGCTAGGCATGGCTTTCGAGCACTTTCCTTGCCAATGTGGAGTCCTCAGTGTCGCTCGTGGGGCTGGCACCACGGTGTTGCTCAGTGACTGCCTGTGCACCATGTCCGTGTAACTGTTTATAGTTCGCAAGGCACTTTTGCTCTCATGATCTCACTTAAGTCCAAAATCATCTGAGCAAAGACAGGTATGTGCTTGAATCCCCATTTTTCATTCTGGTACTATTGAGGCTCACGCTGTCCCGATCACTGGACAATTCTGCACACCTGGGCTCATGGGCGGGCACCTACGTGCCCTGATTCCAAGAGTTAACGACACGGAGAAAGTTCAATTCAGGAGTTAAGTCTTAAAGGCGCTGGGAGCTAGAAATGCCTCCATACTGTGTATTTTTTCACTAGACAGATTTGATTCAAGAGAATTCACACTGCGCAACATGGCAGAATTGTTCAATATTGAAAAATCTGGGTCGCTTGGATTTTTGCCTTACGATGGAATCTAAATTAAACTGGATTTCCTACTGAGGGCTCTAGCATTCAGGAAATGCCGTGATCGCTGGAGTAACGTTGCATCCCAGCATCATGTGAGTGTCAGGCGTGTGTCGCTGACAATCAACACATCTACATGCCACGGGAGTTCACCCCAAGAGCCCCGATCCATCCTTCACCTACAACATTGACACCCGTGACTCCAATTTCACACCTTCCCCTTCTCATTCTGGTAACTACTGGTTGGTTTTAGAGTTTGCGGGTTTATTTTTTTTACTTTATTTAGTTCATTCCTTTGCTTTCTCCATGTACCGCATGTGAGTGAACTCATGCAGAGCTGGGCTTTCTCCACTGAACTTTCAATTACTTTACTCTAGTTCAGTCTTGGTAAGATCGCCCATCTTTCATGTTCCTATTTTGGATTTGAAATCTCTCTCAAACTTGTCTAAGGTCCCTCTTACTGTGAAACAACTCCTCTCAAAATGACTGCGTGCAGCAGGGCTCAGGATGTGTTTGAGAAGAAGGGTGCGTTCACCTCTGGCCTCCAGATGTGCATGGGGGTGGGGGTCCCTGGCTGTAACTGGTAAAATTAAATGTTATGTTTAATTAAAATTAGCTGGCTGCCCAAAGCCATACACTGGCAGAGCACAGCAAAAATGATTCCTAGGCTTTGTGAAAAATGAACCGGTTACCAGAGGAAAGAGAAGGGAGGAGCAGGTCGGGAGGGGTGAGGGTAGGGGACACAGGGCCTTTGGTGGAGGGTGAGCGAAGCTTGTGCACCCATGGAGTGGAGGAGTAAACGTGTAACCCAAAGTGAAAGAGTACAAATGACCGACAAATTAATTGTTTTTAGAAAGGAACCCAAGCAGCTTCTCTTCCTCTAAGTGTGAGCATCTCTAAAATAGAGCTTTCTCATTCTGAATATGAAAATAGAGGAAAGTTACATGTGCAATCAAATTAATAGGAGTCTGCACCTGAGAAATCTTGATTCCAATGCAATTATCCAAAGTTCATTCATACACACACACACACATGCACACACACTATACACTCTAGTCCACCCCTCGACTTCACACCCCTTTCCAAACTGATGCTTTCCTTTCGATCACTTCCTACGTCTACCTGAGGACTTTGTCTTATTAGAATAACATTTCTTACAGTTTGGAATAAACAGAAGCTAGTATTTTTATAAGCTTTATCTTCAAGGAAGAAGTAAGAAATGTTTGAGAGCAAATAAAATGCTCTTACTGTAAAAGCATGGTTTTCCCATCATGAAACATTAATTTCGGATCAGGTGAAATGCGCAGAAATATTTACGATCAAATGTCTCTTCGCCAGCTCGCTTTCATAGCGTTGGGGACGTCCCAGTGGAGAACAAGAGTTCTCCGGGATAACAAGGAAATGTGATTTGTAGCTTTACATATTTCCAATTGTTTAAACTGCTTATGATACCAGAAGGGTATTAATTATTTTTGGATTAAGATCTGCACCCAAATCCAATTTATTTATAAAACAAGTCTTGCTTCCTCACACATTCTCTGCAGCCCCAGGTGGGCGCGAGCTCTGAGACCATCATCCTGGTTTGCATGCTCAGCTCCTCGGAACCCACACCCTCCTTCCCTTCAGTTTAGTTTTCTAAAATACTGAGGTGTTTTAGCCATCAAATCCATTATCTTTACAAACGGTTTTAACCCACAAAGCCCTCAGTGGACAGTCAGACACACTCATGGGCGGCTTCACCTGGAAAGCGGAGACTTGACCAGAAGGGAAGGTTGGGGCAGGCCCCCTCCTCCTGAGGCCCCACGGTGCTAATGCATCTCCCAGCCCGGGGCCCACTTGACACCTTGAGGGGGTGGCAGTGAGCCTTTATGAGAGACAGAATAGGATAGAAGCAGCGTTTCTCAAACTGGGACTCAGTTTGGACTCCCAGGAAGAGCCAGGTCCTTAGCTGGGTTGGGGGTGGGTGGAGAGAGAGAGTGACTGCCTCGAAATCCCAAGGGATTTTGAAATGGAAATGAGGGACTGGAGTCCTAAGCCAAAATAAATTACTTTGGGCATAGCTTGGCTTTTTTGCCTGTGCTTTGGTGTCTGGTCTGCAGGGCAGTGCCCAGGTTGGCATTTAAATTGGATTTGTATGGGTATCTAGACTCCAATGCAGTTGGCATCTCCCCCGGCGGGAGAGATGACCAGACCGCCCGAGGAGAGGTGGCTTCTGCCTGCAGACTCCGTGGGGGCCCAGGGGTCTTCCTGCCAAGTCTCTCCCAAACTGTGGGCCCCTGCAGTCAGGCGTGGTCCCCTGCTGAGACCCCCCACACCGTGTGCCTGTGGCACAGTCCACTCTGGATGTGCCCACAGTGTGGTCACCTCTGCCAGACAGAGGGCAGCCAAGTGTCACTTCCCTTTCACAGAAAGGCTGAAACTTCGTTTCTGTGACAGACGAGGAAGCGAAACTGAAATAAATACCCCCATTCTTGCTGGGAGTGGATGTACTGAGCACAGGATCCCCCCTTGCTCCAGGCTCCCGAGTGAAGGAAGGGTAGCAAACACCCACCAGCCTCTTTTTCTTGCACTGTGCCTCCATCCTGAGGCTGAAGGCTTATGCCCACTTCCCACCTCCGTGGGGGGAGAGATTCCAGATTCCCATGGGCCCAAGCCAGACACTCACAGGCCCAGAGAAGCCTCCGCCAGTGAGAGTCAACAGCCACCCAGACGCCAGAGATGGCGGTGCGGTCCTGGGGTAACACACACAGTGTCAGAAAACCTGGAGCCGAGTCCTGGTTCTGCAGGGGCTTTTCTGCCGTGACTAGTCCAAGGTCACAAGCCGAGTCCACATCCCACCTTGGTTTGCAGGGACCTTCACAGCCAGGATCCAGTGTCCTCACCAAATCTTCACCGGCACTGCCAACACCCACACTGCTGGCCTCTGGGCCCCACCCAGCTGGGCAGAGCCCCTCTGGCACACTCTGCCTTCAACATCTTCACACCTTGGCTCGTGGCTCCCCATGCACCTGAGCACCCCACTAATTCTGAGCCTGCAAGACCCACCCATTGTTACCTCCTCTATGAAGATGGCCTTGACTGCCCAAGGAGAGTGAGGGTTTGGGATTCTTCTCTCTGTGTCATCCCTCGGGTGCTTACAGCAGCCGGCCCAGGGGCGCAGGCTCTCTCTTAGCTCCAGCATTTCCCACGGCGCAGAGACTGTGTCCTGGCACCCAATATTTGCACAAAGTACATTTTTAGCAAATGGTGGTGGGATCAGTGGATGGGTACGTGGATGGACAGATGGATGCGAGGATGACCTCGGAGTGCCTGAAACTCCGTGGAGTACAATGTGGTGACCAGTTCGCAAATGAAATATTAGGGCCCTGTTGTCCTGGGTTCTTTTTGCAGCTGGATGGTCGCCCACAGTTCAACCCCCAAGCCTCCTCCTCTTTCACGGTGAAGTCCACCCTCCACCCCCTCCCTGCAGCTGGGAGCCCCAGGGGCTGATGGATGGAAAGCATGTCAGCAGCTCCTCACCCTCCATTCCTTGGTGTTTGGCCAGTGAGGCAGGAGGAACACGAGATGGGGTTGTAATTGCACCCACCAGGTCTGCATCCCTGTGTGTCCCTGAAACAGACATCACAGCCAGCCCTGCGTCTGTGTCCACTGCTCCCCCACCCCTCAAGCCAAGCACCAGCGCCCCTGTCACCCCCCAGCACTCCCCTGTCCCCGTGGAGTTCCTACACCTGTCACATCTCTCACCTGGTGTCTTTATCAAACTGTTCGCAATTTACCCAGTTGGAGGCGTCACCCCAACCTCACGGAACCCCACCTAATGTGCGGGGAAAATCCTTTCTATATTAGAGATTTACATGACAACACCCTCAAGGGTCTCTGTGCAGGTGAAACGCGTCTGTTCATGCAAAGGCCTTGTTAGCTCTCCAGGGTCTCTGTTGCTGACTTACAGGGTAAATGGGACTAAAGATCCCCCCGGAGGCCAGTGCCAGCCCCACGGAAAATGCTGCGTCCATGTGAAGGGGTGTAGAAACGTAGCTCCCATAAATATTTCATGGCAAAGTCACAGTGTGAAGGCAAAGCATCCCCGCAGGGCCAGGCACCCCTGAGTAGGGCCCCGAGCCTGGGCTAAGCCGCCGGGGAGCCCTGGCAGGCACAGCTCAGGGTGTGTTTGCGGCCCGGGGCAGATGGGATGGATGCTGACAGAAAGAGGACAGCGTGTCAGGGAAAGGCCCCGCACCCGCACCAGAAATAAACCAATTACCCACCTGGACGGATGCGCCTGCCCCTCCCTCCAGGCCGCGCCTGCACCCGCTCTAACAAGGAGCGACAGCAGCATGTTCACCAGAATTAAACACGCGGCGGAAGGCCCAGTAACGAGCTGGCTTTTGTTTCCACAGGCTGAGCTGAAGATCCCCCTGCTTTGCCGGGCGCCGAGAACTATGAACAAGCAGTAAGTACCGGGACGCTGAGCCCAAGGCCCCGGGGGGGCAGCAGCAAGGGGCGACGCCCGCGTGCCCCGTGGGGAGGGCACTTCCCGTGTGGAGGTGTCCCCAGGAGCCTGGGGTGAGGACGTGTGGCCGCGTTCAGAGACGCCCCTTTCCTGGAACAGTGGCCACGGTGCTGCCTGCGTGGTGCGTGGTGAGGGCGGGGACCGCCACCCCGGCCCCAGGACGGGCAGGGCCCCGGAAGCCCCACCGATGGCTTCACACCCAAGTGTGGGATGAAAGTAACAGAAAGGGGTCCCCCGCCAGCGACCCTGGAGCCCAGCTTCCTCTTGGCGACCGCTGGGCCTGGGGCACCAGACGTGAGCCTGCGTCAGCAGAAACCCTCCCATCTTGGTGCTTGTGAGCAAAGGGAAAAGACAGCAGCTCTCCAGGTTGTGGGAAATATTTTGAAATGAACAGAAACCCCCCCCCTTTGCACTGAGAAAGCTGGTGCTCTGATTTTACACGACCCGCCCGGCTCTTTCTGGCTTGGTGTCGCCGCTGGGGGCTGCCACCCATGGGGCCAGGCAGAGCGGCCGTGGAGGCATCTCGGGGTCAGGCAGGCGAGCCCGCCCTGCACTGGCCACTGGCAGCGTGACCATCGGGCAGGCGCTCAGTCCTCCCTCTCGAGCAGGATCTGGCTGGGCCAGTGGAAGCACCTGTGTCTGCCGGGAACCGGGGGGCAGCGAGGGTGACCACATGACGCCTGGTCTCCCGGTGCAGCTGCCGGCGCAGGGCTGGGGCCCAGAGTGACACGCGGGCAGGTGTCCCCCACAGGAGCTCACAGGCGTCCAGGTGGGCGGCCTGACCCCCAGTCAGGCCAGGGGGACCTGGAGCTGGTGCCTTTCATCCTGCGCGGGGCTGCTGGGGTCCACAGTCCACAGAGCTCCTGCCTGACCCAGGATAACCCAGCCGTGGGGCATCTGCCCCCTGGGGGTGCGGGGCCTCTTGGGAACGGCAGGCAGGCACCACTGAGGTCTCGCACGTCCTTTTCCTTGTCTAAGTCGCCTGACTGAAGCACACAGAAGCCATGAGGGAGCTGGGACTGGACCTGATTCCAGGTGCAGGGCTCCACCCCCAGCCCTGGGGGTCTGGGGGGCAGGGTGGGAAGGGCGCGTTGGCCCAGGCTGACTGACCTGGACGTGGCAGGTGGCGCCTCGGCAGCCTCAGGCTCCGGACATGACACACAAATGGTTTGTGGGTGTTGTGTGAACTTGAGGCTGCACGTTCGCTGCCCAGGACTGCAGAGCAGACTGCCACTGGGCGGCCCCAAGCCACCAAGAAGGTGTTCCCTGGCATCCTAGGGCCTGGAAGTTCAAACTCAAGGTGTGGGCAGCCCGAGCTCCCCCTGGAGGTGCTGGGCCCCTCCTCCCTCCCTCCTCCCGCCTCTCGTGGCCCTGTGTCCTTGGCCTCTGGTGCGTTTGACGGGAACCCGGTTCAGGACCACATGCACCCTCGGTAACAGGCCGGATATCAAGGCCTGCACCCCACTTTGGCAGCAGCGTGAGGTTTCCTTGACAACCAGGGCAGTATTTGCTGTGAGCTTCGACCTGCTCTGTGGTCGGGAGCCCCTCCCCTCAGTCTCTGCTCCCCCTTCTTTCTGTGACCCCACCAGCACCCACATCTCCTCCCAGAGGGGGCACCTCCTCTTCAACTTTGGGTTTTGGGCCACACAGTTGGTTTCACATCAGCTTTTCCAAGGGTCACCTTGTGATTTCCACTTGAGTCTGGAGTTTCATCAGAACAGACGCCCCAGCTCATCATAACTTCATACACATCAGTTTTCCCTAAAGCTCAGGATGCTGAATCCCAGCTGCACGCTCATAAAACCCCCGTGGGTTCCCAGCCAGATTAACATGTGAGAATCCCCGGGCTCGACAACAGCCCCAGCACCTTCCTGTCCAGGCATGCGGAGAAGTGTCCGCCACACTCACCAAGATGCCGCTAGGACGCACAGTCGCCATCCTGCATGGTGCATGAGCATGGTGTGAAAACTGGCGCCCCCCCCCCCTCAAAATACATACGCACACAAACACACAGAGAAACAAACACACGGTTTTGTTCTGCTGTGCCTGGCTGGGGGCGGGGAGCACTGCTTTGTGAAAATCACTAACCCAGTTAATTCTAGGCAGCAGAGTGTAAACCTGCCTGGACACTAGAATTACCCAGGAAGCTCTAAACCAAAAGCAATTTCAGCATCTTTCCCCAGGCCAGAAAATTAGAACTCCTGGACGCGGGTCTTGTCTTTTAATGCTCAACTCAATCTAATCTGAAGCGAGGGTTGTGAAATGCTGACCTAAGGTACCTAATAATTTTATAACCTGGCCTTTGTAGGCAGAACTAGCTCCTTACTAACTCCCAGTGGGCACTTAACAGTGAATGAGTAAACATAAAAAGAAAGGCTGATGTAGAGAAGCTGATAAACACAAACATAGATGCATGTCCATGTATCTACACGCAACTGCATGCGTTATCTCCAACACCGTGTGAGATATGCACATGCATTTGCCTGTGAAAGGATCAGTTAAGTCAAAAGGATTTACCCAGTTAGGTCACCCCTTATAAAGATAAAGGGCCAGCCCTTGTCCTCAAACTGCTGTAAGTAAATCATTTTAGTTAGGTGCAAAGTGGTGGGGAAGCACTGAGAAGCTGGGATCCCATGATCTGCTGGCTCCTGAGAACCGCAGGCTGGTTCGCATCACCTCTCCCTGCAACAAAGCTTGCAGCTTCCCTAACAATTAATTAAGCTACTTAAGCTCCCTCCTTGGCTCCGATGATCCTGCTGCTGCCCCTTCTGCCCTCAGGACTGGAAAAGGCATCTTGGGTTTATTTTCCAATATCTTCATCACTCTGGACAGAACCGATAAGGACATGGGCGCTGCGCTTCTGAGTGTCTTGTAAGAGGCGGAGAGAGATGACTTCAGGCCCTTTCCAGCAGGCAGGGGCCCTGCATGGGCCAGGTGCTCTGGGAACCCGAAAGAACGGCGTCCCCAGTCTCCCAGACTGAGGACTGGTGGGGAACAAGCATCCCCAAGAGTCTACTTTGAAATACTGAAAAGGTAGAAGAGTAAACTAGTTTTGTTTGTTGTTAAAATTGTTCCAAGTTCTCATGGAAATTTTAGAAAATGCACAAAGAGAATGAAAATTCCCAATGATCCTATTACTTAGAAATAGCCTCTATTTGCTATAAATTTCTCAAATTATTGTTTCTGTATCTTTGTGTAGTATTTTAAAATTCCTTACACCATTTTGTCTATATCTGTATGTAATATTTTAAAATTTCAGGAAAACTACTTTCTTTAAAATGGAAGTAGCATTGCAGAATGACAGTAAGTTTCAGGTGTGCCTCATTGCAAATCATGTGTTTATACTAAATAAGTCCAATCACATCCACCACCATAAAATTGAGTCCTTTCACCCATTTTTACCCACCCCCTTCCCTCTTCCCTTCTTGTAACCACTAATTGGTCTCATAGTCTAAAAGTTCGTTTGTGTTTCGTTCCTCCATTGGTTGGTTTCTTTATATATTAGACATGAGAGAACACACAGTGTTTGTCTTTCTCACTTTGGCTTATTTCACTAAGTATAACCTCTAGGTCCATTCATTTTGTTGCAAATAGCAATATCTCTCCTTTTTCGTAGCTGAACAGTATTCCACTGTGTGCATAAACCACATCTTCTTTATCCATTTTTCAGTCAACGAGCACTTAGATTGTTTGCATTCTTGGCAATTGTAAGTAACGCTACAATAAACATAGGGGCGCTGTATCTCTTCGAATCAGTGGGCTGTGTTTTATATGGAGGGTAAATACCCAGAAGTGAGATAACTGGAGCAAATGGAACTTCTATTTTTAATTTTTGAGATATCAGCATCCTGCTTTCCATCATGTCTGCACCAATTTATATTCCCATTCACTGTTGTAGGGTAAGGAAAAATATCAGGCTTTTCTGCCCTCCTGCCATCAGAATAAATGAGGGAACCCTGTGATCCTGAATGCATGCCTGATGGCGGGCACCTGGAGTGGGTGCACCTGGGCTAAGACTGTGCTTTTAAGGGCAGCTTCACGGGGACGCCAGGAGAAGCCAAAGCCGAAGCTGAAAGAGAAGCCAAGAAGCAGCAGAACGAACGCCGGAGAGCCCAGATAGAGTGAAGACTTGCTGGGGGCTGGGAGGCCTGCCAGCCTCCCTGCCCCCCAGCCAGCACCCCTGCCTGCCATATGCCTGGTGAACCCCAATAAAAGACCTGCAAAAAACCACTGAGGACTCTGACTCCTCCTTTACCCGGTCTGCATGGGAGCAGGAAACCTGCACCGTGTTTAGTCCTGCCCCTTACAACGGTGAACGGGATTCCCTTCTTTAAAGGGCAGGAATGACCACTGAGCAGGTTTTCTGATCCCATGCAGACCAGGTAAAGGAGGAATCAGAGTCCTCAGTGGTTTTGCAGGTTTTTTATTGGGATTACCAGGTACGCAGCAGGCAGGGGTGCTGGGGGGCCGGGAGGCTGGCAGTCTTCCAGCCCCCAGCAAATCCTCACTCTAGCTGGGCTCTCTGGTGATCTCTGCTTCTGTTTCTGTTTCTCTGCTTCTCTCTCGGCTTCTCTTTCGGCTTCTACTGGGTTCCCCTGACGCCGCCCTTAAAAGCCCAGTCTCAGCACAGGTGAATCCCATCTACCTAGGCCCACACCCTACTCCAGGTGCCGCCATCAGGCATGCGTTCAGGACCCCAAGGATCCATCATCTATCCTGATGGCGGGAGGGCAGAAAAGCCTGACATTTTTCCTTACCCTACACCTTCTCTCTACCGCCTCTCCAATACCTGTTGTTCCTTGCTTTGGGGGTTAATAACCATTCTCACAGGTTCTAGGTAGGATCTTGTTTTGCTTTGCATTTCTCTAGTAAGAGATAATGAACATCTTCTCGTGTCCCTCTTGGCCATCTGTTCATCTTCTTTGGAGAAGTGTCTATTC